GTATCCCCTTCGTACTTGTGAATGAATTATACAATACTTTTTACTTAAAAATTTATGTTACTTATCAAAAAAGAAGATCTAGATTTCGAATTCTTCCACTAAAAAAAAAAAAATCCAACCATACATCTAGAAATCCTTGCAATCCTCTAGAAGCTCGCTATCGCTGGACAGTGGATGATATTGTCACAAATTAAGAAAGGTTAGCGAACCTAACCTGGAGGACATGCAATAGCCAGACTATATGAAACATCACTTTCTCCTTGCTACATCTTTGTCTCCTGAGTTGCCACAGAGAACAGTGATTGCCGATCTACAATACAATCACTATAAAGGTTGCGAATGAAGTGGTGGAGGCTATTAAGAAATCTTCGGTTCTCTTTACACGTTATAAAGCCTGACCAAGCCCATGGCTGTCTTACAATTAAGCCAAAAGCATCCAGGGATTCATACTCCGTAGACTTACTTAGAAGGCAAAAGGTCAAACCCCAAGACCTACTAGCCTCTGAGAACTAAAATAAGAGATGATTGGGGGATTCATAGTCCCAACGACCAAGGGGCATCCATTTATAATAATCTTCTCTCTCTTCCTCAATTGTCCAAGGTAAGAAATCTTCCCCAAACTACTTCCTAAACAAAAATGCAATTCGGAGGATGCCTTGCCTCCTAAATTTGCTTCCTATGGAACCTTAGAAGCTTTTCATTTCAAGAGCGACAAATTGTTTTAAGAAGATTTCACTAAATATTTTGTCTTTAGCTAAAAACCACATAGGATAACCCTCCCTCGAGATATTAAATTGATATTCGCCAACAAGGCCATCAAGTCCAAGAACTCCACAACCTCCTAACCCTTATGGTTCGTAGAGAGCCGAAAAATCCACATCATCAGACCTGCATATCAAAACCCATCAAATCAAAGACTGGTTCTTCTCTGTCCCTGGCAAGAGCATATTCATAGGCTAAGCAACTCCTTAAGAGCGTGTCTCCACACCACCTAGTCTCCTGAAATTCCACTGCCTTATGCTACCATCCATAAACTCCAGAACACCCAAAACATTGTCCAACTCCTTGCTAATCCACCGTCATGTCCCACTATTTCCTTTTTTATTTGCTTATTAATTTTATACTTCTGTATTTTTCTGTGGTCAGAGAGTACTTTTTTTCTCCCACATATTCTCCGCCTCTAATTAATCCCTGATTTTTCTTCTCAAATAACAGAGGACTTTAAATAATAATTAAAAAAAAGTTCTTTTTGATATTCTAGTTGTTTTTGAATTTACGAGCACTCCATATTGTACACTAACTATTTATGTAGACCATAGAAGCCACATAAAATTACAACTATCCAGATATCTGAACTTTTAAGATAAAAAAACTACTTCAAATACGCCCAAATTAGATTATGGGATGTGCCAGAAGCTTCCAGACTATGTGTTTGTCCGCTTATTGCTAGCTAAATCAAAATATCTTCAGGTAGTTGCTTAAGAAAGATTATGAAGTCAGGAGCATTGCATTGAGGCTACAAATTGCCTATAGACACATAAACAAAGCCCTTATTATATCTTTCAAACAAACTAGTCATACCTGCAAAAATGTCTTCACTGATGTTGATAACACGAGAAGCCTTGCTGATGCCACCACGTGTTATATGGAAAACTCTGTCAAAAACATCTGGATGACCGTAATGCATACGGATCCTGAAAATTATAAAAGATGTAAATGTGAGTTATCCGAGTTGGACGAATCTTAGAAAGATCTCATAATAAAAATAGTGAGGATTTTCCAAAAGCTACTCAATTCAAGGGGTACAAAGAGAACATACTTTAAGGGATTTGCCAAAGTACGCTGGCCTAGAGTGACAAAGCTAGTTTCTTGATTTGACATGAATGAAGCTAAAGAAGAAACACTGCAGATCATTGCAAACAATTAAGAAAATGAAATCAGTAAGTATTTAGCAGATTTTCTTTTTATTTCTCAATGTAAAAAGTATATATTTTTATGAAGGAAATAGGACAAAGAAACAAAATAAAAATAAAAAAAGAAAACAAAATAAGCAAACGTTTCTAAACTAAAATGGATCCCAATTCCTTTCCAGAATATAAAAAGCAATCCCTGATAAATTCATGTGCCTCAGCCCATAAAGAGGGCATAAACAGCATTCTGTACCAAATAACATGAGTCTTTTCTGTCAAAATTTTACCTTCCTGTAAACACATGTTCCCTGACACCAAGAATGGTAGGCGGACGTATACCATGGTCACAATGAAATTCTTCAAGAAGATTTCTCATCTTCAAGGCTTCCTCAAAATAGTTATCCTACAAAGTAGGAGAAGAAAAGGCATCATTCCAGAAAACTAATAACTGCAAAACTTAATTGACGTTCTTTAATTGCAATAGGTCCTCAAAATAATTCATCAAGGCAAAAGGCATTGGTGCAGCAAACAAATAAATACAACTTAAGCTGGTAAAAATAATTCATTAAGGAGGTAAAAGACATTGGCGCAGCAGACAAATAAATGCAACCTAAGTCAGTACTCAAAATATCAGAAAAATATATTTCCAATTGTTAATAGGTGTAAGAAACAAAATCTCTAAATTCATTTTTTTAATTGATCGCTCTTGATTGATTGAGTCTAGTCAAACAGGACAAATGACGATAACAGAGAAGAAGCTGCAGCACTTTCAGAGGGGGAAGCACACAAGGCTGTTATTATTATTATTTTTTTGACGTAAAAAAGTGTGGTATCTATCATTCACAAGCACCAATGGAGTGTGTTAACCCATGTACAAAAATATTTACATGTCAATCAAAATATTAATAAGGTATGCAAAATCCTCCATTGAATAAAGAGGATCTCCCATTAGCAAAAAACCAGCATCTAGAACTATCTTATCTCTAACCCTACCAAAGTTATCTTCCACCCCTCAAAAGTTCTCCTATTTCTCTCTTTCCATATCACCCAAAAAATAGCAAGAAGAATGAGAATAAAATATTTCTTTCCTCCGCTAATACCCTTCCACGACAAATCCTTTCCCTCATCGAACTAGCCATCACCCAACTGATGCCGAGTAACATATAAACCAAAGTACTAGGCTGCTATTGTTATATAACAGTATAGCTGGTATACATCTTGCAAGACAAGTATACACCCAGTAAACCACCGAGAAATGCACCTATTTAAGAGAGAAAATAGAGAGCCTCTTTCTAATATCAAGAAAGAACGCCTGCGGAAGACTTACAGGCAAGGAAAAGGAGGAAATTTAGTAACTAGGATGTATCTGAAACTCAAATAAAAAATCTTTTTGCTTGATCAGTTATTCCTTTTATAAATGTATTAGTTCAATGTCAGCATACTTCAAGCATGGGAAAGTCAAATTTTCCCATATTGAAAAAAAAAAACCAATTATCTCATTAATATTACTCCAACAAAACACGCAAGTTTTAGTACAAGATTGAAACACCTTTGTAAAATAGCCAAAGACCTCCAAACAAGACCATGAACCTTAACTCAAAGGGAAGTAAAAACCTGGACCCTGGCACTCCTTTCCAACCACAAAACAGCAATATAACAGTTCTTCAACGTGGTAAATTTTTGTTTAAAACTAAGGATACTCATTCAACAAGAACAAATGAACAAGAGCTTCACCAAGGAATCACCTGGTTCATGTCAATTGTCTGAACTGCATTTCCACGAGTAAATACGATTGCATGGTTTTGATTCTCAGGTTTCCCTTCACCAAGTTTAGGATTTCCAGGTAACTTTATGGAGTAAATTTCCTGCAAAACCAGAAAAGCTCAATATGAAACCATTTAACATTAACAAGAGCTTCAAAATTTTTATTTGAAATATTCTCTACAAGCATAATATGATCATCTGCAGTCCAGAGAGATTTTAATCAGCATAAAAGAATCAGGCCACTGAAGAGAAAACAGGATTTAACATTAAGTAGCATGATAAAGGAATTGGGAAACACAAGTACTCAAACAAAACGAAAGACTATAGTTTTTGAAAATGAATAACACTACAGGGCTACAATTTAATGAAAATGTCGACAACTTGATCCTACATAAAACCATCTTACCAGGTGACTATCCAACAATTTCATAATTTGAAGAATGGAACAAGATCAATTTTGCTCACATCTAATAGCTAGTTTATTTGGGCCATATCGTTGGGGCAACAGAATTTTGACTTTCAATCAAAATTATTAGAAATAGACGGACATGAAGGGCTCTCAAATGTTTGG